GAATCTCTTCTTTCCTTTACTGCAGAAACCTAAATGCTTCCTGTCATAGCTGGAAGGCCGTGTAGCCAAGTGCCACATACGTGACGGTGGAGTCTTGGTGCACTTAGGGGAACTGTTGGTGAACAATTAAGAATTTCAGGCCGGGCGCGGTGGCTCATGCCTGTAATCCCAGCACTTTGGGAGGCCAAGGTGGGTGGATCACGAGGTCAAGAGATCGAGACCATCTTGGTCAACATGGTGAAACCCCGTCTCTACTAAAAATACAAAAATTAGCTGTGCATGGTGGTACATGCCTGTAGTCCCAGCTACTCAGGAGGCTGAGGCAGGAGAATTGCCTGAACCCAGGAGGCGGAGGTTGCTGTGAGCCCAGATCGTGCCATTGCACTCCAGCCTGGGTAACGGGAGCAAAACTCCGTCTCAAAAAAAAAAAAAAAAGAATTTCAAAGAGAAACCTCCTATGACTCATTTTCTACATAAAGGCAATTATTATGTCATCCTCTTCCGTGGAAATGTACTTTGAAACTGTAATGTGCATGATCCATGTTGTCACATCCCCAGGTAGGAAACCAACCCAAAGCGACACAAATCAACAGAAATTTACTGAGGAAGCTCTAAGGGCCCCTTAAGTATAGGTCATGCAGAGGGGTTTTTTTGTTTTTTTTTTTAACCCACAATTGCATAGTCTATCCATATTGTTAGGAATCACATCTTATCAGTCCTATACTCTAGGCCACATGTGGCACATGTAGCTACATACTGCCGTCTCTGTCAACCTGAGGGATTTCTGGTGAAAAAGAATATGAAGATAAAGATGCAAAGGGACAAGGAGCAGGAAGAGAAAGAACAGAAGGAGGAGGAGGAGCACAAAGAAAAGGAGGAGTAGGACTAGGATGCAAGAAGCCACGGCTAGACTTACAAGACAAACATCTCTCCAAACGAAGAGACGCCACTGAGAATTTAGCAAGAGTAAAAAACGCAAAGATGAGCAAAATCTATGTTAGAATACAGAACACTAGTAAGTCACAAATGCTGAGTCAAAACCCTTTGGTGGATGAAGGAGATTTTGCTTATTGACGATGGTGCTGGCTTCAGAGACGTGCTGATACTGAGAATATTCACTGGGCTGAGCTGTGATAGCTCTATGAACGCATGTCTATCATGCAAGCCTGCCACTCCTCTGATACTGAGAATATTCACTGGGCTGGGCTGTGATTGCTCTATGAACCCATGTCTGCCATGCAAGCCTGCCACTCCTCTGATACTGAGAATATTCACTGGGCTGGGCTGTGATAGCTCTATGAATGCATGTCTGCCATGCAAGCCTGCCACTCCTCTGATACTGAGAATATTCACTGGGCTGGGCTGTGATAGCTCTATGAACGCATGTCTATCATGCAAGCCTGCCACTCCTCTGATACTGAGAATATTCACTGGGCTGGGCTGTGATTGCTATACTGAATGCATGTCTGCCATGCAAGCCTGCCACTCCTCTGATACTGAGAATATTCACTGGGCTGGGCTGTGATTGCTATACTGAATGCATGTCTGCCATGCAAGCCTGCCACTCCTCTGATACTCAGAATATTCACTGGGCTGGGCTGTGATAGCTCTATGAACCCATGTCTGCCATGCAAGCCTGCCACTCCTCTGATACTGAGAATATTCACTGGGCTGGGCTGTGATAGCTCTATGAATGCATGTCTGCCATGCAAGCCTGCCACTCCTCTGATACTGAGAATATTCACTGGGCTGGGCTGTGATTGCTCTATGAACCCATGTCTATCATGCAAGCCTGCCACTCCTCTGATACTGAGAATATTCACTGGGCTGGGCTGTGATTGCTATACTGAATGCATGTCTGCCATGCAAGCCTGCCACTCCTCTGATACTGAGAATATTCACTGGGCTGGGCTGTGATAGCTCTATGAATGCATGTCTGCCACTCCTCTCCTTATTTGTTCTTCACTTTAGCCCAGTGATCACTTCTGCATCCTCAGGTCACTTAACCTTCATGAGTTTTCTAAAACATCTCCCATGTTACTAATTTAAACCCTCCCTACCATCCTTACTATTCCCTGAGTTCTAGATTCATTTTTCCAATTTTTTTTTTCTGACTTTCCAATGTGCCTCTGTGATAGATATTTAAATGTGCCCCAAAATGAACAGGTTTCTTAGCCTTTTTTTTTTTTGAGACGGAGTTTCGCTCTTGTTACCCAGGCTGGAGTGCAATGGTGCGATCTCGGCTCACCGCAACCTCCTGGGTTTAGGCAATTCTCCTGCCTCAGCCTCCCGAGTAGCTGGGATTACAAGCGCGCGCCACCATGCCCAGCTAACTTTTGTATTTTTAGTAGAGATGGGGTTTTGTCTTGTTGACCAGGATGGTCTCCATCTCTTAACCTCGTGATCCACCCGCCTGGGCCTCCCAAAGTGCTGGGATTACAGGCGTGAGGCACCGTGCCTGGCCGGTTTCTCAGCTTTTATCACCATGTCTAACTCTCTCAGTCATGTTTATTTCTATGAATAAATAAATATCATCTTGCTATTTGCTTTTTTTTCCCCAAAAAATGTAGCCATTTTTATACTTAATTTACCATTTTTTCCTGATAATTTAACCAATGTTCCAGCACATTCTATTCTAAAATTTAACCCACAACAATTCATAGACACAAATGTAAAACCAAAAACTGTACAACTTCTGGGAGATAATGCAGGAGAATCTTTGTGACCACAATGAAGTAAGGAAGTGAAGTGACCATGATCCTGAGTCTCTTTTTTTCCTCCAACCCTCAGTCCCCGTCGTATCCCTTGCTTCTTACGTCATGCCAGAGCTGTGATGTCAGCCAGTGCTCGGCCCGCAGGTGAGAGGACCAGGCAAAGGATCGGGGAAATGAGAGGTGACAGGAAAGGCATGCAGTTTCAAATTTATTCTTCTTTATAAAACTGTTTTGACAATTAGTGCAGGCCCTTTGTATGTCCATGTAACTTTTCAGAATATATTTGTTAATTTTTATTTTAAAAATTGGGTTTTTGTCGGGATTGTCTCAACCTATAGAACAGTTAAAGGAAAACTGACAACTTAAAAAATATCAAATCTCAGATTCAGGAACTTGCTGTGTCATTTATTTATGCCTTCTTTAACGTCCCTCAGCAATGTTTTTACAGTTCTTGAACATATTTTGTTAAATGTATTTCTAAATCTTTTTTTTTTTTTTGAGACGGAGTTTCACTCTTGTTACCCAGGCTGGAGTGCAATGGCGTGATCTCGGCTCACCGCAACCTCTGCCTCCTGGGTTCAGGCAATTCTCCTGCCTCAGCCTCCTGAGTAGCTGGGATTACAGGCACGTGCCACCATGCCCAGCTAATTTTTTGTATTTTTAGCAGAGACGGGGTTTCACCATGTTGACCAGGATGGTCTCGATCTCTTGACCTCGTGATCCACCCCCCCCAGCCTCCCAAAGTGCTGGGATTACAGGCTTGAGCCACCGCACCTGGCCCCAATATTTCTTGTTTTTATGCTATTGTGAAATACTTTTTTTCAGTTGCCAAGCATGAATTTGCTAGCTAATACATCTACCCAGTATGGAGACATGTCCTTTTCATACACTGGCCTTTTTCTCTTAGGCCTTGCTAAGCTCAGTTATTAGAGCTAGTAGCTTTTTAGTAGACAATTTGGAATTTTCAATATTATCATGTCATATGTAAATACAGACAGTTTCGGCTCTGCCTATACAATCTTTCAATTTTTATTTTTTAAACGAGAAGTGATGAATGTTGACAAATTTATCTTATTATTCCTAATGTTGGGGAAAAGCAGCTTATCAAATATTTGATCACATATATAGCAAATGTGCTGTTAGCTGTTTTTCATGGATGTGCTCTATCAGGTAGAGGAAATCATCATCTTGTTCTAGTTTGCTGAGTTTATCAAAACCCGGTTTTGAATTTTGTAAAATGCTTTTATTACAGTTTTGAGATTTCTATTTTAGTCTGTTAATATAGATTATATTAACAGAGTTTGAATTATTGGGTCGAACTTATATTCTTCATAAACCTCAATAAGTTTTATTATTGTCTGTATATGGCTGAATTCAATTTGCTAAATTTTGTTTTGTTTTAGCATAAGTGCAAGTTTATTAAAAAGGCTTTAGAACAGGAAAGAAAGGCAAGTATGCTTGGAAGAGACTCAGTGGGCAATTTGAAGGACAAGGGCCTCAATTTGCTAACATTTTATGAAGCCTCCGTGCCTATATCCACGCAGTTATTGGTCTACAGTTCTGTTTAATGTCACTGCCTGCTTGGGTGCCCTGTTAATGCTAACTTTCATATAGCCCAGAACTGTTCAAACCTTTATCCTTTTCCAAGAGGTTATGTACAATTGGTATCACTTCTTCCTTTGATATTTGTAAAAGTTCTCACCTGTTCTAGGGATGACTCTCAGCGGATGCCACCAAGAAAAACTGCAGCAGTCCTACCGCCGCGAAGGACTTAAATATGCCAACAACTCAAACAAGCAGGAAACAGCGTCTCCCTGAGATTCCAGAAACACAATCGCGTCGACACTTTGATTTTGGTCCAGGGAGATCTGTGTTAAACTCATGACCTACAGAACAGCAAGGTAATATATCTGTGTTGTTTACACCATAAGTTTGTGGTGATCTGTCAGGATAGCAATAGAAAGCAAATACATGAACATTATTCTATGATAAATTCTTCAGTCTCCAATGCGGTATTTCCTAGACTCATGTTGTACCTTTTCTGTCACAACCTGAAAACAGCCTCTTCTCTAAAGACTTCTGATTCCTTTTGTTAAAAAATTATATAAACCAATAAATGGGCATTAAATATACTCAAAGCTACTGGCATGCCACTGCTTGCTAGGCTGACTCAGAAAAGATAGGAAATAGGTGCACATTACAGATATGCACTGAATTCTTTATCTGTAGTTAAACCTATAAATATTTCAGAAGTCGGATATTTTAAGATTCATAAGACTACAGTAGCATACTCACATAAGGCTTTTATTTATAGACAAAGATATGGTAGAGAATACAACACCAAATGCACAATGAATAAAATAACGGACGGAAAAACCAGACTTCATAAAAATTAAGACAATTTACTCTTGGAAAGTTACTATTAAGAACTGAAAACAAGGCCAAGCATGGTGACTCATGCCTGTAACACCAGCACTTTAGGAGACAGAGGCAGGAGCTTGAGACCAGGAGCTAGAGACTAGTCTGTGCGACATAGCAAGACCTCATCTCTAAATTTTAAAAATGAAAACAAAAGCCACAGACCATGAGAAAATATTGGCAACGCTTATATCAAGTAAGGAATTTGTCTCCAGAAATATTAAGAACTTGTAACCAACCAAATATTTTTTAAAACAGGCAAAAAATACCAATAGGTATTTCACTAAAGAAGATACAAGGGTGACAAATAAGCACATTTAAAAATGCTCAAAACAGTCCTCGGAAAACACAAAGTAAGAACTCCAATGAATACTATTGCATATTTACTAACATGGCCAAGGTGAATGGCCTGTGACTTCCATACATAAAAACTGTCAGTGATGTGAAGAAACGGAAAATCTAATGTGTTCCAGGAGGAAATGTGAAATGCTAACCATTTACAACACAATTTGGTGAGCCAAACTGGTGAGAGTTATAAAAACACCATTCAGTCTCTGGAAATGGTCACAAGGGTATACGGCAAGTAAATACTAAAGATCTAACATTCATAAGAACAGCAAAAGTCAGTCCCATCCGAACCAAGACCACCCCTTTCCTCCCCCACCTCCAAACTCAGCGAGATGAAAACTCCAGTCCAGACTGGGTGCAGCCAGGAATACAGGGCCCCCTCTCCCTGGAACTCCCAGGCAAAGGCTGTCTTCTCAGGAGGGGCAATCGGTCACGAATTCTCATCCTGCCTCCAGGATGCATATTTAGATGCATGATGTTCAATTGCCAGCTCCCTCATAAAGGCCATTCTCAAAGTTTGTTTTAAATCAGGTCATATTGATTCAGAGACAGTAGATAACCTGCCACCCTAAGGCCTTCTCCAGTCTAAACTTTCTGGTGGTGAATAGAGTTAGGACTTTAGCCAAAGCCTTTTTCCACATTTATTAAACCGCCCACTCTGTGAACTGTCCAATGTTGAATGAGATTGGAGATGTGCCTAATGGATCCATTTGTTACCTTCAAGACATTTTTCCAAGGTGAACTTTCTGGTGTTGAATGAGGCTGAAATGCTGGCTGAAGGACTTCCTTCCCATAATCACTGCATTTCTCCGGTGTGAATCCTTCGATGTTTAACAAGACTGGAGCTGTGGCGAAAAAATTTCCCACATTCCCTGCACTCATAAGGCCTTGCTCCAGTGTGAATCCTCTGATGTTTAACAAGGCTGGAATTCTCACTAAAGAATCTCCCGCATTCATTGCACTTAAAAGGCTTTTCTCCAGTGTGAACTTTTCGATGCTGCATGAGGCTTGAGCTCTGGCTAAAAAATTTCCCACATTCGCTGCACTCATAGGGCCTTTCTCCCGTGTGAACACGCCAATGATTGATAAGGCTGGATTTGTGGCTATAGAATTTTCCACATTCACTGCACTTATAAGGTCTTTCTCCAGTGTGAACTCTTTGATGTTTCATGAGGCTGGAGTTGAAACTAAACAGTTTCCCACATTCGCGGCACTCATACGGCCTTACTCCAGTGTGGATTCTGTGATGCTGAACAAGTGTGGAGTTATGCCTGAAAGCTTTTCCACATTCACTGCATGTAAAAGGCTTTTCTCCGGTGTGAACTCTCTGGTGTTGAATGAGGTCAGCATTACGGCTAAAGGATTTCCCACAGTCACTACACCCATAAGGCCTTTCTCCAGTGTGAACTATTTGGTGTATAAAAAGGTTGGACTTATGGCTAAATAACTTCCCACATTCACTGCATTCATAAGGCTTTTCCCCAGTGTGTAGTCTCTGGTGCTGAACAAGTAAATATTTCTGACCAAAGGCTTTCCCACATTCACCGCATTTGTAATGCCTTTTTCCAGCATGAAAGGCCTCCCTACTTTTGGTAGTCCTATGTGACTCCTCTCCCCTGTGAGCCATCTGGTGCTTAAGAAGACCTGAGCTGGTTGGAAGGTCCTTCCCAACCTCCCTGCTTTGCAAGGACTTCTCTGACAGGTGGATTCTGCAACTTCTCAAAACTGGGATCCTGCCCTCTTCTCTTTTTACGGGTTTCTCTCCACAGTGCTGCTTCTGGTGTTGCTGAACATTTGAAGTGAGCACTCCTACAGAAGCACTCTGCTTAGGGGCCTTCTTGGCCTCCACTCCATGCCAACAGCCTGAAAGAAACGTTGTTGAAGTATACAGACTTTGGTGTGAGGAGGTAGCACTCTCACAAATGTGTCTGACTCACCCAGTAACTAGTGCCTGGAACTGCTGGCAGAAATGAGGGGGCTAGCTCTCAGCAGGGAAGGGCCTGCTGTGCAGTGCTGACACCGGCCAGTTCATGAATTTGGGGAGGCCTTATGAGCACCAAAGATGCAAGGATGGGATGTAGCACAGGGAGGAGAGACAGGGTCCCCAACACAACGATCTCCAAATGGCCTTCCATAGGGCTTTGGCTGCTGAGACACAGGAACACAGCACAGAAGGGTATGTCCAGGTCCAGAACATACCCACTGCAAGCGAACAGCTGGTTTTCAAGGACTATGCAAAGGTAAGTCCCCAGCTCACCGCACATTTAGTGAAAGCCATTGCTGAAGGGTGCTGCTGAGGACTGGCTCAAACACGGGGGACAGAGAGGTGGGGAATGGCCCTGGGTCAGATATCAGAAGGTATAAATATATAAATGGGTGACTGAGGACGAAAAGACAGAAATCAGCGATGACCCCTTGCTTTGGTAACAAAATATCTGGGCCCACTGGAAAGACTCCTGGTGTGATATGAACCCACCCCTGAGTTCATGCCTCCCTGAGCTCCACCCACCAAGTACCTCCTGGTATGGCTGAAGTCACAACTTCCCAAGCAGGCATGAAGGGCTCTTCCCATGACTCCAGCTGGGTTATTTCATGGGTCTTGGAAGATGCAAGTCCTAAAGAAAAGGAGAGCTCAGTGGCAGCACTGAGCCAGAACGACTTATCCCATCATGGACCACAGGAAAGAAAACAAAATAGTACAGAAAGAAGCTCGGAGGGGGTTCTTGCAGGAACCACCCAGTCAAATAACAATCACATTAGTGACTCAATTCCTGGCACAGACAGACACCCAGATGGGTTGGCTAGAAGAAGCAGGTAGAATATAGGGGCACAGAACTGCCACAGATCTGCACAGTGTCACCGGGCCACAGAGAGGCCACCAGGGGTAAGAGCCATCAAACTGAATGCAAGACTCCTGACCCCCCAAACCCTTTCCTGCACAGCTCTGGGGCAGCTTGGGGAGAGAGGGTGTTGGTATACACAGCCCAGGCCTATTACAATAGATACTTCACGATATTGGAGAAGGATTCAGTGCCCACAATTCAGCTTTGGGAAGAACAGACTTGTCCCCAGGAAAAGAAGGAAGAGCTGAGCTGAGCCCAGCCCAGGATGCTGGGGTGGCGTGTGAGAACCTTACCCAGAGAGGCCATAAGTGAAAAGTTCTCCAGCATCACATTGCGGTAGAGGAGCCTCTGAGCCTCATCAAGCAATCTCCATTCCTCCTGGGAGAAGTAGACAGCCACGTCCTCAAAGGTCACATAGCCCTGCTAAGATGGAGACAGCTGAGTTTATATGTGGCCTCCTTAATGGGGACTTTAGACATCTCCCCAAATATACACCCTCTTCCCTAATCCCCATCTCAGAGGAAAGACCCTGCCCCAGAGCCACTTATGCCCACTCTTTCCTAATGGTCCCACTGAGCAACCACAGGCAGGAAGGCAGATGAGAGTCCACCTCAGCACTGGGCACGGTATGCAGAGTCCTACTCTTCTCTTGCCAGACAACTGGCCTTGAGTCCCCCAGATTGTGTTTCCCAAATGCAATCAAATTTGTGCCAGTGTTCTCCCTTAAGCCCCCAATACAAGGTCCTGGGGCCATCTGTTTACACTCACTAGAATATGCACACACTCCGTACCACATCCACCGCCTCTGACATCTTATACGCCCCCCCAAATGTCACCACATGCCAGTCTACGCATGGCATCCAGATGGCACTTACCCAATGCAATCAGAACTCCATGCCATCCTAGGCCTCCAATGGCACTGACTGGCAGGGGCAACTCTCAGCCCCACTTTGAAGGCCTCCCTACTTGGCTGTTTTTCTTGCTTCATCTTCAGCTACCTGGAATTGCACGCCTATCTGGACACCTCTGGCACTCTTCCATTTCTGTGTTTTGAAAAGCTGTCCCTTTCCTGTGTCACACTTCCCCTGACTCTCATTAGAATCCCAGACCCGGCCAGGCGCAGTGACTCACACCTATGATCCCAGCACTTTGGGAGGCTAAGGCGGGTAGATAACCTGACATCAGGAGTTCGAGACCAGCCTGACCAACATGGAGAAACCTCGTCTCTATTAAAGACATAAAATTAGCCGGGCGTGGTGCGTGCCTGTAATTCCAGCTACTCAGGAGGCTGAGGCAGAAGAACTGCTTAAACCCAGAAGCAGAGGTTGCGGTAAGCCGAGATCGCACCATTGCACTCCAGCCTGGGCAACAAGAGCAAAAGTGAGTCTCAAAAAAAAGGAAAAAAGAAGCCTAGGCCATATGTCTCCCAAACCAGGCCTAGCAACTCTCCGAGATGGCCTCATTTGATCTTGAGCTAATCCGGCAGCCTGAGAAACTCCCCAGGTCCCAGGTAAGAACAAAGGCCTTGTGACCCCACAGGTGGATGAGTAAGCAGCAGTGCCAGCCTTCCTGTTACCTTACCTCATTATAACTTCATCTTCCCATCCATCTCATGTCTACCCCCACAGGAACCTTGTCCAGCAGCCCTACCTCTCCTCCCCCATGGCCACCATTTGCCTTCATGTCCTTGTGAAGCCCACCACTCCCTTCCAGGTATCCAAGCAGGAGACCCAGTTCTTGGCCCCTGTACGTTCTCCCTTTTGACCTAATGGCATTACCAATAGGACCTCGAGATGCTCCCTCCTGAATCTGCCCCACTGCTCCATCTGGGTCCACATACCAGTTGTATTGTGTGGGTCTCCAATCTGAACCCTTCAATGAATTCCAGACTTCTCTGTCCAGGTGCCCACTCAATGAATCCACTCAGGGGTCTCTGGAACATCTCATTTCAACATGGCCGAAACCTAATTTAATTATTCCCATTGAAAATTACTCTTACCATTCACCTCTCTCTCCCCAACCCTACTCTTTAGAAAATCTGCTCACATCTACTTAAAAAACACAGACTCCAACCACGTCTCCGGTGTCCACAGGCACCTCTCTGGTCAGCACTCCCTAGGCCACTGCAGCAGTCTCTTTGTTGATCTCCCTGCCTCTCCTTCAACCCTACAGTTGTTCTCAATAGCAGAAAAAGCTTGTTAAGACTGGTCCGTACTCACTGTGCAGCCTTCCACATTTCCATCCTTCCTGACATTAAGGAACAAACAAAAATACAAAGAGCAGAGGCCCAGCTCCTCAGCCAACCACTTCAGTTCTACCTTATACTTGCTGATGTCTGACATAACGGAGATCTAAGGTTGCCTAAGCATTCCCAGCACAACCTTACCCCCCTGTATTTTCTAATGTTGACCACTATACCTTCTAAACCTCCTGTCATTGGTTGCCAGAAATGAGAACCCCTCCATGTAATATATAGTCTGGGCCAGACACAGTGGCTCACGCCTGTAATCCCAGCACTTTGGGAGGCTGAGGCAGGTGGATCACGTGAAGTTGGGAGTTCGAGACCAGCCTGACCAACGTGGAGAAACCCCTTCTCTACTAAAAATACAAAATTAGCCAGGTGTGGTGGCACACACCTAAAATCCCAGCTACTCGGGAGGCTGAGACAGGAGAATCGCTTGAACCCCGGAGGTGGAGGTTGTGGTGAGCTGAGAACGCACCATTGCACTCCAGCCTGGGCAACAAGAGTGAAACTCTGTCTCTAAATAAATAAATAATATAATATACAGTCTGGACTCAGGGCCCTGACTTTGTATGATCATCTTCCAGGGAACTCAAATAGGAGGGCAGTGAGAATAACAAGCAAGGAGTCCCGAGGCACCATAATTCTGAAGACCATGTAGGTAGGAGTTGAGGAGGATGAGGACCTTAAACATCCTCCACGTACCTTTTCATTGTCTGTAAGTAACTCTGCAGCCGTAAGAACCTATGGAAAAACAAGGCCATGAGAAGCAGACAGTGATGTTGGCAAAGGATCATCACAGGAGTCAGGTGTGCTTGACTATCTACAATCTGGACTTTGGATCTTAGTAATGCCTCTCACCTGTTGTGGGCTTTTGGAAGAATGCACAATTTCCCTGTGCCTTGGTGTTGCTATCTGCAACATGGCAATAATAATGGTATGCACTCAATAGGACTACTGTTTGTATCAAACTCATTCTTATGTGTCTAGGACTAAGTACTCTTACTGTACACATAATTAATGCTTCTGTCAACATTTTCAGTGCAAATAAACTGGTAGGTTTTGAAAGTGTGGGTTTCTGGCTGGGTGCGGTGGCTCACACCTGTAATCTCAGCACTTTGGGAGGCTGAGGTGGGCAGATCACCTGAGGTCAGGAGTTTGAGACCAGCCTAGCCAAAATGGTGAAACCTCATTTCTACTAAAAATAGAAAAATTAGCCAGGCATGGTGATAGGTGCCTGTAATCCCAGCTACTCAGGAGGCTGAGGCAGGGGAATCCTTGAACCCAGGAGGCAGAGGTTGCAGTGAGAAGAGATTGTGCCATTGCACTTCAGCCTGGGCAACAAGAGCAAAACTCTGTCTCAAAAAAAAAAAAAAAAAGTGAGGCGCACATCTTTTATGTGGTCTCCTTACTTACCTGAACCACAAGGCCTCAGGCTCAGCACTCTCAGAGTGTACCTCACATCTTTTTTTTTTTTGAGACGAAGTCTCACTATGTTGCCCAGGCTGGAATGCAGTGGCTATTCACAGGTGCGATCCCACTACTGATCAGCATAGGAATTCTGACCTGCTCCATTTTCGACCTGGGCCTGTTCACCCCTCCTTAGGCAACCTGGTGGTGCCCCACTCCCAGGAGGTCACCACATTGATGCCAAACTTAGTGCGGCCACCCAATCAGCATAGTGCACTAGAGCCCACAACTCCTAGGCTCAAACGATCCTTCCACCTCAGCCTCCCCAGTAGCTGTAACTACAGGCATGCGCCACCACGCCCAGGGAAAATGCGGGTTTCTTAAACATACTTTTCAATTAAGAATGTGATACTTAAGGTATTTTATCTTAATACTTTACAGTATATTAAGTTTACAACCAATTATGAAGTGCTTACATCAGTTTAACTTAATGAACCTGTGTTGTTTCATTTGCCTCTGTGTGCATATGAACTATGATCAGTTAGTGCTTAAATAAGTACTTAACTCACAAATTCACAAGTTAATAAACTGGGACCGGGCTCTGAGGAACCCCAGCAGACACCATTGCTTTCGGCAATCTGGCTGCCTGTTACGTACTCCTCTGAAGGCAATCCTGCTGAGAGCCCTTCTACTGGAGCAGTTATCGTCCCTCCTGTGTTGACGGCTAGGGAAACTTAGGCACCAAAGGGGCTGCTCCCCCAGCCTGGCTGACCTTTTCTTTTCTCCAGATGGACTGGACATGAGGACCTGCTGAGCCTGGAGTGGAAAACCGATATACTACCCTGCAATCTCCATCCAGTCCTGGGTCTTTATAATCCTCCATTCCTGCGGACACCACACAGATCCACTTCGGACCACAAAACTCCATGCTATAGAGGCAGCCCCATCCTACAGGCCCATCTCTCCCTTCCCTCACCTCAGGGCCCATCTGAAAGAAAAACCTTAAGATTCTCCCTCCTAAATAGGAGCCCCAGGCCTTACCCCTAGTCCAGGCCTCTACCCACCAAGATGTCTTGGATATCTCCAGCCCAGATCCCTTCCCGAACTTCCAGATGTGAGTGAGCAAGTTGCCCGTGTGGTCATGACACCTCCACTCTGGGACATCGCAGGATCACCATGCCCAAAACCTACTCCCTGTGTAGCCTTCCCAATCTCCATCCTTCTTGATATTCAGGAACGAACAAACGAAAATACAAATAGAAATCCAGAATGGCTCTTCATTCCCTACTTTCTTTCACAGTCACATCTGACGCGACAGGAATTCCTGTCTGTCCAGTTTTTGAAATCCGTCCAAGATCTGGTCACTACCCCTCCTCTATGGCCCAGTCCCACTTGACTCTCCACTAGTCTTTTGAGTTCACCTACTCGCAGGTCTGCCTTGACCCGTCTCACCCTCGCTCCAGTCTGTTTTGCCTTGAGGGGCCTTTGGCAGAGTTTCTGAAACAGATCGTGTCACTCTTCTGTCCCCAGCCCTCCGCGGCCACCGTAGCCCCGTCAGGATGAAGGCGCAGCTGCTGTGGCTCCACACTTGACTCGTCCCTTCCCAAGCTGCCTACTACAGACACCAGCAAGCCTCAGGGTCGGGACTCTCGGGGTGTGCCTCACATCTTTGCCAGCCGGGCCCCTTGCCCTCCATTCCTAATCCATCACACTGCGTATCAGAAACGGGACCCCGCCCACCAAAAGTCCCACCACCCGGGGACCTGAGCAGGCGGCGCTCACAGGGCTTTAGGATTCAGGGGACGCCAAGAGAACGCGGCGCTCACCTGAGCGGGCTCCCTCATCGCGGCCGCCGCCATCAGAGCCTGTGGGTTGAGCCGGGCAGGGGAGACAACGACGGAGGAGAGCACCTGGGCCACTCCAGGCGCCGCCACCGAGCCTCAGACCCACCTCTGAGCGGCGAGAACAGTGCGCGTCGCCAGCGCGCCTTCCGGCGCTGGTAGCCTCAGCTCACAACCAGCTTCCCGCAGGCTAAGCTCACCATTATAACAGCGAAAGTGACCGCCGAGGAGCGACGCCGGAAGTCCCGCCCATTGCGCGTCGCACGCTTGGGCAGGTCTCTTTTCATTGGCCAAGCGTCGCCGCCTCGCGGCGCGGCGCCTTCTGGACAATGTAGTTCCCAACGCGCCAAACTTCGAGGAAGTGGGCGTAGCTGCAGAGACGGAGATTGGAGATGATAGTTAATGATGGAGATGTAGATGATAGATGATGCTGGAGATGGAGATGGAGACAGATGGAGATGGTGATTGGAGATGACAGGTAATGATGGAGATGGAGATAACAGATGATGATGGTGATGGTGATGAAGACGATGGAGACGGAGATGGAAATGATGGAGATGGAGATGGATATGATGATGGAGATGATGGAGATGGAAATGGAGATTATGGAGACGGAGATAGATGGAGCTGATGGAGATGGAGATGGAGGAGAAATCAGGGTATAGAACTTCTCTCAGACTCATCCTGAGACTGTTGTAATTGGAGATGGGCCTGGATTTCAGTTTCCTGCAGCTGATACTCCAAACTTTCCTTCTTTTGAAGGACTTGAAGAGGATCTTCAGGGCCACAGTAAAGAGTTTTCTTTGGGCAAAGCCCCGTATACATTCCCAAATTTCCCTTGGCAAGGGGACACCCATAATTAAAGTCAACAGTGGCCAAGCAATGCCTGATGCATGATAATAAGAAAACGCTCTGAATTCTAGATGTAGGTGACGATAGCGTAGGGGAGCCCAAGGATTTACTTTCCTCCTTCACTGCATGCTCATTTGTGCTCTTTCCGTCCTAAAGGACCCAACATTGGTGTATAGGCACAACAATAGGCAGCAAACCCATAAGTGAACTCCCCCTGAATTTCTCCCCTTCATCCTTTTCTGCTCCGTGTTCCCACTTCTCTTCCATTTCCAAATATAAAGCCAATTCATCACAGGTGGGTAGAATGCTAGACTGTTGTTTACAACACACAACTATTGATAAAAAAAAAGATGTCAACCCTTTATTATATGTCATCCCACTACTTCCATTTCCATTGAAGCTAGTCCCCTCATGTCAGTCTAATTTCCCTGCTTCTTTTCCTGCCCCTTCCATCTGTGAGCAGAATAATAGACAATTTCAACACAGCTTTGGGATGACTTATGAAGACAAGAGAAAATGAAGCCTTCCCTCCTTCTTGGAGCTTTCTGGAACGGGTGTTCAGTACTAGTTGACTCTGAAAAGGAGGGGAGTCAATACGGGGACTGAGAATATGGTAGACTAGAGAGACACATGTTCTTTACCCGTTCGCAACTATGGCATTATTTATTTCAGTTAGACAATTATGTGGCATATGGAAGGGAGGGGAGGAGGCGAGGAGGAGAGTGAGGAGAGATGAATCCATGACAGGAGTGGGACAATGTATAGACAAACTCCCCCTTCTTAAGCCAAGCACAGGAATAAATGTTTTACTTCCTTGAGAACATCTATTAGAATGGATTCTGGATTATTCATCTAATAGATTATGGGTAACCCATGAAAATTAGCTGACCATCATGACACGAACCTTTATGAAGAAATCCAACAAACATATTACAGAATCTTTTCACATCGTAGAAAACATAGAAAATTCAGAATCTGGCAGTAAGAAACCTGTGTAACATTTAGGAAAATATACATACATGGTAAAACTATAAAGAGATTAATAGAATGATTATCAAAATGATTAACAAAAATGTCATGGAAATGTTAGCTTGATGGGGTGTGTCAGGCATATAAGGTGATGTGAAAAGAGACGATACCTAGGAAACTCTTTTTTAGCCAGGTGTGGTGGCAGGCGCCTGCAATCCCAGCTACTGAGGAGGTTGAGGCAGGAGAATCGCTTGAACCTGGGAGACAGAGGTTGCAGTGAGCCAAGATCACACCACTGCACTGCATCCTGGGTGACAGAGCAAGACTCTGTCTCAATAATAAAAAATAAAAAAAGAAAGAAACTATGTTTTATCATGACTGTTTTCTTCACAGATGTGGTATTAATTAAAAAACAAACTATACCTCTTCTGAACATTATAGTGAATTGTGTGACAGTTTTGAAATAAAGAGTATATGTATACAACTTAATTTTATCACAGAAGAGACAATCAACCAAAACAGACTCATATGCGTAGAATTGCCAATAACATGATTGGTGAGGACAGAGCAGACTATTTAATCATTCGGTTTAGGTAAAATCATTATCTACATAAGCAATTAACTTATAGCTGGGTGTGGTGGCTCACGCCTGTAATCCTAGCACTTTGGGAGGCTGAGGTGGGTGGATCACCTGAGGTCAGGAGTTCAAGACCAGCCTGGCCATCATGGTGAAACTCCATCTTAAAAAAAAAAAAAGAAAGAAAGAAAGAAAAAGAAATTCATTTACATCTCATTGAATTCACAAAACAAATCCCATGAAGTTAATTTTTTTTTAAATAGCAACATATTCTGGGTCTGTATATATATATTTTTAATAGCAACATATTCTGGGTCTGTATATATATATTTTTAATAGCAACATATTCTGGGTCTGTATATATATATTTTTAAATAGCAACATATTCTGGGTCTGTATATATATATTTTTAATAGCAACATATTCTGGGTCTGTATATATATATTTTTAATAGCAACATATTCTGGGTCTGTATATATATTTTTTTAATAGCAACATATTCTGGGTCTGTATATTTTCTCTCTAACTCCTGGAATCCATTTTTATTTTCAACCTTTAGGAATATTTATGTTTATAAGGAGTGAGAACATCAAAGTTTGAGTCCAAGACTCTGCCTTTGGCCATATCTCCTTGAGCGCTGGCAAGCAGATTCTTCAGCGTTTGGAAAGCCTAACCTACCCAAGGTGGCATGAGAAGCAGATGCACCTCAGGGTCTTATCATAGGTCAACCCTCAACACATGAGCAGCTGCAGGGAATGAGTGAAGACTGAGGGCTGTAACCAACTGTAAACAAGTTTCGATGACATCTCCTGCCCTCCCCAAGTTTAGAGCTTAGTGGCATGAGTCACCACCCAGCAGCTCTGGAAACTCTGGACTTCCATGGAGATGGCCATCTGGTCCTTAGACACCTAAAGTTTCGCCACCTCAGCTAGAGAACCCAAACTACCTTTCCATCTCAACTATCCTTATAAGGAAAAGTAGACAGGGAGATGAGGCCATAGGATGGGAAAATATAACCATTTCCCCAAGGAGGAAGGAGCCTAATATTTCAGAAGAGCAGTTCGGCTCCACAACAGTAAGCAGGTCTGTGTCCCGTTATTGTCCAAACACAGTCTTATGCTCGAAGACACCACCCCAGCAGACGTTGCCTTGGTGATTATAAACTCTTCTGAAGCTCCAGTGGAATCAAGGATCCAGGATCACCAACTACTCAAAAGTACAGCTATTCCTAACCACTACAACCATCTACTCTTCCACAGATACCACATCTTTGAGACTCACCTGGATGTCTTTGGTCTGCTGAACACTGACTCAGCAAAAAATGACTGAAAATGTTACTGAGAAAAGGTTCTTTCCTCTGCACATGCCACCCAAAGACACCATTCTCTCTTTCCAGATCAAGCCTTGATTCATCTTGTTTTGTGTAGTAATGCTTTATTCTTTATACTGCTAAGTAGTACTCCATTGTCTGTATACACCATAGTTTGCTATGTCCACATTCTACCCGGGAGAATGAATTTGCTAAGTCCACATTCTACCTGGGAGCTGAACCTAGAATGGTAAAAACGAACAAGCAAACGTAAATAAAAAATGCCAGAGGTTGTTTCTAAATAGTGGTGAAAATAACAGGGGATATGAAGGGGAGAATGTGAGGGAATGGCAGTTGTACTGAGGACACAGCTGGAAATGTTTAAGCTTGAAGGCTCAGGACAGCGCCCATTCAGATGAGTTGGATGTGGGTGGCTTTCTTGAAGGTGATAATTGACTTGACACCAAAAAAAAAAAAAAAAAAAAAAAAAAAAAAAAAAGAGAAGGAGGCAGCTATGAACAAAAACAAGTTTAAAATATTCAGGTAAAAGGAAGAGAAAGTGACAAAGAGATGTGACCTGGAGGTGACGCCGGACGCCGCTCCCTAGCATTGGTGCCACGGGAACTACATTACCCAGAAAACTTGGCGGCTGTGGGCCAATGAAAGCCCAGGAAATGGGCGTTACCGTCAGTGTGAAAAACGTCAGGGCGGGACTTCCTCAACCATCCTCGGGTAGACATTTTGCTTTTCCATTAATCCAGTGGCTTAGACTCCGGAACGCGATGTCCTGCGGTGACAGAAACGGGAAAACGTGAGACAGCGTCTTCTTCCCTGAAGGGAGGTGGGCCCGAGATTCGACAGTGGCGTTGTCGGAGTAACCTAGCCGCTGGGTGTGGCCCTTGACGGCTGACCCCAGGTTCCCTCACTTGTCGCCACCCTTCCGTAGTTCACTGGCCTGATGGCGGCGGCTGCGCCGATGGGCCAGGCACAGGTGGGTGCTGCGTCCGCGAGTCCGCGCTCTGACCCCCATCTCTCCGTCCTAAAGCTTTGCATGAACGGCTTCTCGGGTTGCTGCAGCTCAGGCCCCTGTATCTAGAACGCTGGGGGCACTTGCGCTTGGAACCCAGTTTGACAGCGCAAGTGGAAGGACGTTCCAGGCAGAGGGACAAGCGTGTGCAAAGGCTCAGAGGTGGCACACAGCTGGAGCATTTGGGAAAACTGGGTCTTTGGTGTCTGAAAGGATCGGAGTGCGTTATACGTGATCACACCTGCAATATCATCTAAGCAGTTGGGTCTCTATTCTGAGGGTAATGGGAGCCATGGAAGGTTCTAAACAAAGGAGAGCCACGATCTGAGGGTTTAAAAAGTATTCCGTAGACATCTTGGAGGAACAGACTCTTTTTGGCCATGGAGGCAGATAATGAGCACTATTCCGAGGTAACACAGTTAAGAGACATCCTTGAAGATGGAAGCACAGAGGGTAGAGACATTCAGCCCCCAGGCACTTTGTAACAGCATAGGAATGTGGGACGGGCCTGAGCCTCTGGGGTTCCTTCAAGATTGCTCGGCTCTCACAGTCTCCCTTTTCTCCACAGGTTCCCCTGAACTCGGAAGTTATTATGGACCCTAAACAGGTGAGGGGAGAATGTCCATGCTCTCACCGATCCCACCCCACCCAACATGCTCTCCAGGATTGTGGTGTTATATAGAACACTTTCCTGCTACTCTCCAATCTCTTGGGTCTGAGGACTCTGGAGAAGCCCCAAGCCCAGGGTCCTGAGTCTGAGCCAGGGGTTTTATGGAGGGGTTTCCATTTCTGCCAACCACTGGAATATGGTTGGAAGGTTGTTCCAGGCACAGGAACCAGTCTGTGCAAATACTTAGAGGTGAGACTGAAATGGGAGTTTTCAAGAAATTGCAGGTCTCTTATCATGTCTGGTGGGAACCAAGAGTAAGGGGTGGGAATCATCCTGAAATGGCTTAAAGATGATTATGTAGATTGGGGGTTAAAAGAATATTCATTTCATTTAGTGAGCCAGGAAGGTGATGGTGGAGAGCCAGAGACGTGAGATAACTGTGATCCAAAGAGTGATGTACATGTAGAAAGAAGTGTAGACTAATGACCTCTGGGTTTAAAGGAGAAAAGTGAGCCCAACTTTGGTAGTCTGGTAAGCATGATATTAGTGACCCCAGAGGAATCTGCTTACAGAAGGGTGAGGCCCTATATGCTAGGCACAGAGCTTAGAGGGTGACAACTTCTTCACCTGCCTGTGGTTGCTATGGGTAGACACAGTGATCATTAGGACCATGAGGAGAGAGAAGACACCAATGGCACCTGGTCCTCAAATGTCCTCTGAGTTGAGGAGTTAGGTAGGAAGGTATACAGGATGGAGATGTGTGGGGGCATGGATGGGGGTTCTCGGGAGAGATGCTGCTCATGGACTTGGCTCTCCCGATTGTGGCAGGGGCAGGTGAACTTTGAGGACGTGTTCGTGTACTTCTCCCAAGAGGAGTGGGTGCTCCTTGATGAGGCTCAGAGGCTCCTGTACCGTGATGTGATGCTGGAGAACTTTGCACTTATGGCCTCTCTGGGTAAGGCCATCACATCCACCCCAGTGACTTGGAGTGGGCCCTGCCCTTCCCATTTTTTTCAGTGCATCCTTGTCCTTCCTATATCAGAGCCATGGACACTGCCTCCTTTCCTAGTTCCTGGAGTAGGTTCTGTGAGTGCTGGGCTTGGGCTGTTTGCACTCCTACCTCCTCCTCCTGAGCATTCCCAAAACCTGTCTCAGAGCCTTCCAGGGATGGATTCAGGAGTTATGCATTGTATTGTCAGCCCAGTGGGTTATATCCATCTTGTCCTTTCCTTGTCTGAATTCCTCTGTCTGTATCCATGACACCTCTGTGCCTGGGATTCTGTACTCTTCCTTTAGCTGACAGTTCTGTGGCCTGCCTATACCAGGAATTGTATGGACCATTATTGTCACTACTTGCTAGGACCACTGGGCTATTCCGGCAAGACCCTACTCTGAGATTATTTTAATAATATTTAGTTTCCTATAAGGGTTATCCAAACCAGTGCTGTTCTGTCTTTCCCTAGGACATACATCTTTTACGTCCCACATAGTTGCCTCACCAGTGATGGGTATCTGACTGGGTGGACGTGACCCCAGCTGTTACCACAGGGACTCTTAAGTGGGAGTGGCCCTGGCGAGTAGGAGCTGGGGAAGGGTGTGATATCAGGGCTGGGTTCATATCATTCCATGGCCTCCTAGTGCCTACAGTTGTATTAGTGCTAAGGACACTGGGCCATACTTCATTTTTATCTACTTTCTCATTTATACACTTGCCTTTCATGCTCTGGCCTTTGGCCACTGAATGTTTCATGCCTCTGCCTCCAAGTCTCACCTGTTCCTCTCCATGGCTTGTTCTACAGTGCCTTCCAACATTTTCCTAAACTTAGTGTTTCATGAGATGTGTAGCCCAAATAATCCTTAACCAACTATTGAGTAGCAATTTGATTTTCTTTGGTATGGAGCATAACCTTTTGCACAACTCTAACCTGTCCCCAGCAGCCAAGAAAATCTGATTGTGAATGACTTTGAGACCCTGCCTCTTTTTTGTGCTGTACCTCACATCTTTGTCCTCTCCCAGTTGAGGCCTCCTCCATTCTATGACATTTAGATGCCAACTACTGTATAGTACACATTTGCTGAACTTGAGTTTGGACCCTTGTCCTAACGACAGTCCTAGGACCTTGGTCTTAGTTGTGTTAGACACATATTTGTAGTGAGGCTTCCCCTCTTCCACCTGTGTCAATTTGTACTTCACTAGCATTTCTCTGCTTTCAGGTTGTTGGCCTGGAATGAAGGATGAAGAGATACCTTTTGAGCAGAGCTTTTCTATAGGATTGTCACAGATCAGGATTCCTAAGGGAAGTCCGTCTACTCAGAAGGCTTATCCCTATGGGACATGTGGCCTGGTCTTAAAAGACATTTTGCACTTGGCTGAGCACCAGGAAACACACCCAGGGCAGAAACCATACATGTGTGTCCTGTGTGGGAAACAGTTCTGGTTTAGTACAAACCTCCACCAGCACCTGAAGCAACACAGTGGAGAGAAACCCTTTAGAAGGGATAAGAGCAGGGCCTTTCTTGTGAACAACTGCCCTGTCCAATCATCAGAGATGTCTTTTGTGACAGAGGCTTGTAAGGACTTCCTAGGCAGCTCAAGCATTTTCCAGCACCATGTCCCTCACAATGAATGGAAGCCACACAGCAGCACCAAGTGTGAGGAGGCCTTTCAACGTGGAAAAAGGCATTACAAATGCAGTGAATGTGGGAAAACCTTCAGCCGCAAGGACTCACTCGTTCAACACCAGAGAGTCCACACTGGAGAAAGGCCTTATGAGTGCGGTGAATGTGGGAAAACCTTCAGCCGCAAACCCATACTTGCTCAGCACCAGAGAATCCACACTGGAGAAATGCCTTATGAGTGTGGCATTTGTGGGAAAGTTTTTAATCATAGTTCTAACCTGATTGTACATCAAAGAGTACACACTGGAGCAAGGCCTTACAAGTGCAGTGAATGTGGGAAAGCCTATAGCCACAAGTCTACACTTGTTCAGCATGAGAGTATCCATACTGGAGAAAGGCCTTATGAGTGCAGTGAATGTGGAAAATACTTTGGTCACAAATACAGACTCATTAAACACTGGAGTGTTCATACTGGAGCAAGGCCTTATGAGTGCATTGCATGTGGAAAGTTCTTTAGCCAAAGCTCTGACCTTATTGCACATCAAAGAGTTCATAATGGTGAAAAGCCTTATGTGTGCAGTGAATGTGGAAAAGCCTTTAGCCACAAACATGTACTTATTCAGCATCACAGAATTCACACTGGAGAAAGGCCATATAAGTGCAGTGAATGTGGGAAGGCCTTCAGGCAGAGGGCTTCCCTCATCCGACATTGGAAAATTCACACTGGAGAAAGGTCTTAGGCTGGAAGACAGATACTCCATTTTTTTTGTTTAACATAATAACTGACCCCAGAGAGAAGCGCCAAGAGTAGTAGTCTTTCTGTATAGCCAGCAGCCAAAAGTAGAACTTTATACACTCAAACACTCACTCTAGGGAGGTTCTCAGTGCCAGCTATATGGGAAGCTTTCTGGAGCTATGCTGAATTTCTAAACCCTTGCTGGAATTTCATCGAGGCAATGCCTCTGATAGAAGCCATCTGTCTTTGTGCTGGAAGAGTCCTGCATTGTGCAAAAGTAACCCTAATGTGCTTCAGAAGGCAGACCTCTGTGCTTCTCCCTTCCCTCGAGGGAATCGTCAGTAGCCTGTGGCCATCAAGGATTCTCACTTTTTTTTTTTTTTTTTTTTGAGATGGAGTTTAGCTCTTGTTACCCAGGCTGGAGTGCAATGGCACGATCTCGGCTCACCGCAACCTCCGCCTCCTGGGCTCAGGCAATTCTCCTGCCTCAGCCTCCCGAGTAGCTGGGATTACAGGCACGCGCCACCACACCCAGCTAATTTTTTGTATTTTTAGTAGAGACGGGGTTTCACCATGTTGACCAGGATGGTCTCAATCTCTTGACCTCGTGATCCACCCGCCTCGGCCTCCCAAAGTGCTGGGATTACAGGCGTGAGCCACCGTGCCCGGCCGGATTCTCACTTTTTTTCTGCCCCACAACTGGTTTAAGCATGAGCATGATCCAGTTTTAGCCAGAAAGATAGATAGGAGCTTTGTTCTGCTGACCACTAGCAGAGGTTTCCCTTCTTCATGGATATGGTTGATCTCACATGGCACTTCTGATGGATTTGTTCAGCCTCTAAGACATATAACCTGAAATTGGCTGCGTCATATTCTGGTTTTGCGGCAAATGCCTTAATTTTTAGACTATCGTAAATCTTGGGGATTCTGTTTGCTTTGTGGGTCAGGTTGAGAAAAGCACTGGGCTAAGCCAGTATGAAGGGATGAACAGCTTTTGTGAGCGCTCCAACTATTTGTATCTGAGGTGATAGTAGGATGGCAAAGAATAGCTCTTGTCCTACTGTCAGCCTAACTTGCTTTGCTGCTTAAGGAAAGAATGCCAGTCTTTGCAGCCCTAATCTTTTGGTCTGTATGTCAGGATTTTTGCCTAATTGAGGTCACCCTAAGCAGTGGGCATTTGTTGTGATAATCTCTAGTGTATCTGGGAGCCACGTGAATTAGGTCCCTTGTTCCCAGAATATATTTCTTATTCCCAAGGCTTCTTAAGGAAGATTTGAACTCGTGGGACCTGTCAAGATCTCTGAAATCCGTTTTTCAGTAGGAAGTTGACACTGGCTGTCCTCCAAAAGGCCCAGGTAGGAATCATAGTTGGTGCAGAGACCCAAATGATTAAGGGGATGGGAAAACTGCAGCAAACCGTAGGGAATATGACCCTTCTAAAGGTACATCCACATGTGTTTCCATTACTCTGGCTCTACTACGAGGGTTTACAAAAATATTCCCATACCTGTGTCTCTTATGGCTGAGATTACTGTCCAGAAGCCAGTCTAAACATTTTTGCAATAAAGTGCACATATTTATAGTGTACCGTTTGATAAGTTTTGATAGACTTCCTTCCCCAAAGTTTCCTGATTCCCTTTATATTTTCCCACTTTCCTTCGCCCATTCCCCAGGCAGCCATTGATCTGTTGTCACTGTAGATTTATTTGTCTTTCCCAGAATTCGACAGAGATACAGTAATTTAATATGTACTCTAATGTTCCTGATTTCTTAAACTCTGAAATTATTTTATGGTTCGTAATGGTGTTCTGTGATTCATAGTTCATTTCTTCTCATTTATACTTTGCTAAGAGTATTCCATTGTAGAGAAATAGTTCCAAAGCAAGTGATCCAGGAGAGAACTCACACAAGAACGAAGCCACTTTGAGACCAGCCTGGTTGACATAGTGAAACCCCATCTCTACTAAAAATACAAAAAACTAGCTGGGTGTGGTGGCAGGTACCTATAATCCCAGAGGGCTGTACACATTATATATACATCTGCCTGTCTACGTGTGTGTGTCTCTGTCTCTCTGGGACTGAAATGTGTTTGTAGGATGTCTTGTAACTACAAGTTTGATTTCCATGGTAGATGGAGGGCTGTACTAGTTATATACACATCTGTCTGTCCATCCGTCTGTCTGTCACTCCATCTGTCCATCTCTGAGCTTTGAGTGAGCTTTGATGGTCTGTGTCTTTCAAGGAGTTTGTCTGTTTCACTTAAGTACTCAAATTTTTCAAAATATTGTTTTCATACTTGTAGAATTTGTAATGGTGCTACCTCTTCTATTCCTGATACTGGTAATGTCTATATTTCTTTTTAACCTTTATTGGTTTGGGTAGAAATTTATTAATTTTATAATTTTATTTATCTTAAAATAGTTGGTATTTTTGAATTTTCTGTTTTCTGATATTTTGGGATTTTTTTCCATTTTGACTTTTACTAATGCCTTCTGCTTTTATTGGATTTCATCTCTTTTGCTACTTTTTTTTTTTTTTTTTTTTTGAGATGGAGTTTTGCTCTTGTTACCCAGGCTGGGGTGCAATGGTGCGATCTCGGCTCACCGCAACCTCCGTCTCCTGGGTTCAGGCAATTCTCCTGCCTCAGCCTCCTGAGTAGCTGGGATTACAGGCACGTGCCATCATGCCCAGCTAATTTTTTTGTATTTTTAGTAGAGACGGGGTTTCACCATGTTGACCAGTATGGTCTCAATCTCTTGACCTTGTGATCCACCTGCCTCGGCCTCTTTTGCTACTTTTTAACATGGAAGCTGAGGTCCTTCATTTCATACCTCTGTTTTTTTTTCCCTAATATGGGGGGGAATGTTAATGTTGAAAATCTAAGAACTGCTTTAGTTACCTCCCACCAAGTTTGATGTGGTTTCATTTTAATTGAGTTTAGAATGTTTTCCAGTTAAAAAAAAATTATTCTTGACACATGGCTCTTTTAAAATGTATGTTATTTAATTTCTAAATATTTGGAGATTTTGCTTATCTTTCTAGTAATTCCTGCGTTAATTGTATTGTGGTCAGAGTATATTAAGACTTGAATTATTTACATTTATTGAAATTTGCTTTGTGACCTAGAATATCAACTATCTTGGTATGAGTTACATGTTCACTTGGAATGTATATTGTACTCTCGTTTGATGAAGGGGTTGTATAAGTGTTGATTAGGTAAAAATGGCTGATAATGTTATTTAAGTTTTTTTATATCTTTATTGACATTCTGTGTTTTTGTTCTGGTTCTAACAATTGTTTTAAGAGGATTGTTGCCTCTCTGAATATCAAGTTGGATTTACTTCTCTGTGCAGTTCTGTCAGATTTTGCTTCACATATTTTGATGTCTTTTTATCAGGTGAATAATAAATATTTCCTATTTTATGTCCACTCAATGTGTTGACCACTTTGTCATTAGGATCCTTTTAATCTTTTATTTATTTTTTATTTTCAGGGACCATGTTGAAGTTGTTCCATGAAATGATCCTTTTAATCTTTACTAATATTCTTTGTTCTAAAATCTCCCTTGTCTGATACTGTTAACATGGTTTAATTTCGGCTGGACATTGAATTTTAGGTACTTTTTTTTTTCCTGCAGATATTCTTGATTTCTTTTTTCTGTTACATGGTTAAGTTACTTGGAAACAATATGATCTTTTGGGGGTCTTGATTCTAAGCATTTCTAGATGAAACTATTGCAGCATACATTTTAAGATGAATTCTCTACTGAGACAAAACCTTTTCTATGTTCTCTACCTAATGCTTCATGAATTATGAGCTTTTTTACTCAAGCTAGTTGGAATGAGAACTATCATCTTTTACCACCTGCTGACTAAAGTGGCCTCAAGCCTTGAATAAACATCAGTGGCAGTCGGGCAGTAGAGACTGTGGACCTTGGGCAATCCCCAGTACTGTGCTGGTCATAGAGTCCATGGGTAGACTAGCATTACTGTGATCAAGAACATTCAGGAAAATATGATCTCACCAAATAGACTAAATAAGCTGCCCTGTGACCAACCCTGGAATGATGGATCAATCAGACAAGGAATATCTTTCAGACAGGGAATTCAAAATAACTGTCTTGAAGAAGCTCGAAGAAGGTCAAGAAAACTTGAAGAAATAATTCAAAAATTAAGCAGAGAAATTTAACAAAGAGATTGAAATAATTACAAAACACGTGCGTGCATGCGCGCGCACACACACACACAAACACAGAAATCCTAGAGCTGAAAAAGACAATGGATGAACTGAAACACACAAACACAGAAATACTAGAGCTGAAAAAGACAATGGATGAACTGAAAACCACAACAGCAGCATAACTGATTAAGCAGAATAACTTCTTAGCTTAAATACAGGCTATTGAAAATACAGAGGAGAAAAAGGAAAAAGAATGAACTGTACTTAAAAGATACAGAAAGTAAACAGAAAAGAGCAAGTCTAAGAGTGATTAGCTTTAAAAAGGAAGTAGACAAAGATGTAGGGATAGACAATTCATTCAAAGAAATAACTATAGAGACTTTCCAAATTTAGAGATACACATGAATATCCAGGTATGAGAAAGTCAAAGAATGACAAGCAGATTCGGTACAAAGCACACAGCAATCAAACTCTCAAAGGTCAAGGACAAAAAGAGGAAAGGTAGCAAGAGAAAAGAGGCAAAGAACATGTAAAGGAATTCCAGTACATCTGGTAGCAGTCTTCTCAGCAGAAATCTTATAGGCCAGAAGAAAGTGAGAAGCCATATTTAAAGTGCTGAAGGAAAACAGGAATATTCTAGTCAGCAAGTATATTCTTCAACCATGAAGGAGAAATAAAGGCTTTCCCAGCAAACAAAAGCTGGGGGAATTCATCAAAACCAGGCCTGTCTTATAAGAAATAGTAAAGACAGGGCCGGGCGTGGTGGCTCAAGCCTGTAATCCCAGCACTTTGGGAGGCCGAGGCGGGTGGATCACAGGGTCAAGCGATCGAGACCATCCTGGTCAACATAGTGAAACACTGTCTCTACTAAAAATACAAAAAATTAGCTGGGCATGGTGGTGCATGCCTGTAATCCCAGCTACTCAGGAGGCTGAGGCAGGAGAATTGCCTGAACCCAGGAGGCGGAGGTTGCGGTGAGCCGAGATCGCGCCATTGCACTCCAGCCTGGGTAACAACAGCGAAACTCCGTCTCAAAAAAAAAAAAAAGAAATAGTAAAACAGTTCATCAATCTGAAAGAAAAGAATGCTAATATGCCACAAGAAATCAACTGAAGGTATAAAGCTTACTAGCAAAAGTAAATACACACACAAACTGAGAATATTCTAATACTGTAGTTCTGGTGTGTGAAACCCTCAAATCTTTAGTATGAGCACTAAAATACAAATGTATCAAGAATAATAACTAGAATAACTTCTTAAGAGATAGATAATATAAAAAAATATAAAGTGAGACAACACAAAGAGCAAAGGGGAGTGATGAGTTATAGTGGAGCATTTTACTGGGGTTCTCTGGATGTCCTGAATTTCAATGTTGGCCTGTCTTGCTGGGTTGGGAAGCTTTTTTTTGGATATCCTGAAGTGTGTTTTCCAACTTGTTTCCATGATCCCCATCTCTCTCTCTCTCTCTCTCTCTTTTTTTTTTTAGATAGAGTCTTGCTCTGTTGCCCAGCTGGAGTGCAGTGGCACAATCTCAGCTCACTGCAGCCTCTGCCTCCCAGATTCAAGTGATTCTCCTGCCTCAGCCTCTCAAGTAGCTGGGACTACACGCCATCATGTCCAGCTAGTTTTTGTATTTTTAGTAAAGACGGGGTTTCACCATGTTGGCCAGGATGGTCTTGATCTCTTGACCTTGTGATCCACCTGCCTCGGCCTCCCAAAATGCTGGGATTACAGGCATGAGCCACCGTGCCCAGCCCTCCTTATCTCTTTCAGGTACCCCATCAGTCATAGGTTTGTTCTTTTAACATAGTCCCACAATTCTCAGAGGTTTAGCTGGTTCCTTTTCATTCTTTTTTTTTTTTTTCCTTTGGTCTAATCTTGTCTGCCTGCCTTATTTAAGCAAGATAGTCTTCAAGCTCTGATATTTTTTCTTCCACTTAGTCTATTTGGCTATTGATACTTGTGTTTGCATTATGCAGTTCTCATGTTGTTTTTCAGCTTCCTCAGATCATTTATGTTCCTCTCCACACTGGTTATTCTGGTTAACAATTCCTGTAATCATGGTTCTTAGCTTCTTTGCAGTTAGAACATAATCCTTTAACTCAGGGAAGTTCATTATTACCCGTCTTCTGAAGCCCACTTCTCTCGATTCATCCATCTCAGCCGCAGCCCAGTTCTGTGCCCTTGCTGGAGACATGCTGTGATCATTTGGAAGGGAAGAGGCATTCTTTCTCATCTTCATGGGTTTATCTACCTTTGATATTTGAAGCTGCTGACTGTTGGATGGGGTTTTTGTGGAGTTATTTTTCACTGATGCTGTTGCTTTCTTTTCATTTAACAGCCGGGCACCTTTTCTGTACAGCTACTGTGGTTTGCTTTGGGTCCACTCCAGACATTATTACCTGGATTTCTCCCACCCTTGGAGATATCACCAATGGAGGCTGTAGACCAGCAAAGATGGCAGCCTGCTCCTTCCTCTGGGAGTTCTATTCCAGGGGGGGAACTGACCTGATGCTGACCAGAATGCTCCTGTATGAGGCATCTGGTGACTCCTGTTGGGAGGTCTCAGTCAGGAGGAGCAGGACCAGAGACCTGCTTAAATAAGCAGTCTGTTTGTCTCTTCGTGGGGTGGGTGTGCTGAGCTCAGGGGAATCCCCCTCATCTGGGCTGCCCTGGCTCTCCAGAGCCAGCAGGCGGAAAAGACTAAGATCACTGCAGCTGTCCCTCCTCCTAGGGGGTCCTCTCACGGTTATCAGAGTTCTCTCCATAAACTCCTGCGTGGGGATGCTGAGATTCCCACAGGGAGGGCCCACCCAGTGAGGAGTAGTGGAACTGGGTCCCGCTTAAAGAAGCAGCCTGGCTGCAGACCGATCCAGCCGCTGTGCTGTGCTGTGGGAAACTGCTGTAGGTCCAGACTGCCCCATCTCACTGGCAATAACAGCAAGGGAAAGCAGCCAACTGGAGCCGCGGTAATGGCAGCCACCCCTTCCCACTGTGAACTCGGTCTTCTTAGGCAGTCTCTACGCAGCTGCACTGGCTGGCAGGGATTCCAAGCCAGTGGATGTTAGCTTGTGGAGTTCCATGGGAGTGAGGCCACTTGGCTCCCTGGCTTCAGTCCCCTTCCCATGAGAGTGGACGGATCTACTGCCCCAGGGGAGTTCTCAAGGCCAGGGTATGGAAATAGTCCTAACTGTGTCTCAGTGCCTGAGCTAAGTGGCCACACACCCGAGCGTCCGCCTTTAGCTAGACTAACTTAAAAAAAAGGAGAGAAGACCCAGATTTAGAGATGAAAAGGGAGACATTGCAACTAATACCACAGAAATAGAAAGAACCATTCGAGAGTATTATGAACAACTGTACGCTGATGAATTGGAAAACCTAGAAGAGGATGGAGAAATTCTTAGACACAGACAGCCTATGAAGATTGAATCATGAAGAAATAGAAACCTGAACAGATCAATAATGAGTAAGGATATTGATGCAGTAATAAAATCTCCCATCAGAGAAAATCCCAGGACCTAATGGCTGAATTCTACTGAACATTTAAAGAAAAATACCCATCCTGGCTAACACAATGAAGCCCCGTCTCTACTAAAAATACAACAACAACAACAAGAAAAAAAAAAATTAGCTGGGCATGGTAGCATGCGCCTGTAGTCCCAGCTACTCTGGGAAGCTGAGGCAGAAGAATCACTTGAACCGGGAGGCAGAGGTTGCAATGAGCTGAGATTGCGCCACTGCACTCCAGCCTGGGTGATAGAGCAAGACTCTGTCTCGAAAGAAAAGAAAAAAAGAAAAATACTAATTATACTCAATTTAAAAAATTGAATAGGAGAAAATACTTCCAAACTTATTCTATAAATCCAGCGTTATCCTAATACCAAAACTAATGACACAATAATGACAAAAAAGGACAATATTTCTGATTAACATAGATGTAAAATCTAACAATAATATACTAGTAAACCAAGTTCAACAAACATTAAAAATTTCCATTGTTATTACCAAGTGGGATTTGTCCAAGGGTTGCAAAAATGGTTCAACATATGCAAATCAATGAACATGATACATCACAGTGGAATCAAAGACGAAAAAAGAAGTTCATTTCAATTGATGCTGAAAAAATATTTAGTAAAATTCCACATCCTTTCCTGATAAAAACTGCGTATGTTAGAGAGAACATGCCTCAAAACAATGAAGGCCATATATGACGAACTTACACCTAGCATGATACTGAATTGAAAAACAACTGATTCTTTCCTCTAAGATCTAGAACAATACAAGGCTGCCAATCTTTACCACTTTATTCAACATACTATTGGAAGTCCTAGCTAGAGCAATTAGTCAATAGAAGAAAAAGGGCATCAAAATTGGAAAGGAAGAAGTCAAGCTGTCCTGTTCGAAGATGACATGATCTTAAATTTATAAAAACCTACTGACTCTTCCAATAAACTGTTTAAAATGATACATTTAGCAAAGGTACAAAATACAAAATCAACACAAAAAAATCAAGTGGCTATTCTATATACCAACAGTGAACAATATGAAATAGAAATCAAGAAAGCAATCTCATTTACAATAGCTACAAAAATAAAAGTACTTCTGAATAAATTTAACCAAAGAAGTAGAAAGATCTCTACAATGAGAACTGTAAGACACTAATGAGAGAAATTGGACACCAAAAAATTGAGTGATATCCTATGTTCATGGAATGAAAAAATTAATATTGTTAAAATGCCCATGCTACCAAAAGTGATCTACAGATTCTTTTTTTTTTTTTTTTTGAGACGGAGTTTTGCTCTTGTTACCCAGGCTGGAGTGCAATGGCGCGATCTCGGCTCACCTCAACCTCCGCCTCCTGGGTTCAGGCAATTCTCCTGCCTCAGCCTCCTGAGTAGCTGGGATTACAGGCACGTGCCACCATGCCCAGCTAATTTTTTTTTTTTTTTTTTTTTTTTTTGTATTTTTAGTAGAGACGGGGTTTCACCATGTTGACCAGGATGGTCTAGATCTCTTGACCTCGTGATCCACCCGCCTCAGCCTCCCAAAGTGCTGGGATTACAGGCATGAGCCACCGCGCCCGGCCCCTTTTTTCATAATTTTTACTTTTGCTTTAGATAAAGGAAGTACACGCACGGGTTTGTTACATAGGTGTATCATGTGATGCTAAGGCTTGAGACACAATCGATCCTCTTAGTCAGGTAGTGAGCATAATACCCAATCATTAGTTTCCCACCCTTTTCCCTTCCTTCTCGTCCCTCTAGTAATCCTCAGTATCCATCGTTTCCTTCTTTGTGTCCATGAGTACCCAGTGTTTAGCCCCACATATAAATGAGGACATGTGATATTCAGTTTTCTGTTCTAGTATTAATTTGCTTAGGATAATGGCCTCCAGCTGCATCCATGTTGTTGTAAAGGACATGGTTCTGTTACCTTTAATTACTGCATACTATTCCATGGTGCATAAGTTCCAGATTTTCTTTTTCCAACCCACTGCTGATGAGTACCTAGGTTGATTTCATGTCTCTACTGCTATGATAAACATACAAGTGCTTGATTCTTTGTGATAAAACAATTCATTTTCATTTGGATATATACCCAGTAATTAGATTGATGGGTCAAATGTTAGTTCTGTTCCAATTTATCTGAAAAACCTTCAAACTGCTCTCCAGGGTGGATAAAATAATTTACATTATTTAAAAAGTCAAAAAGCAACAATTAATAGCCATCCTGTCCGGTGTGAGATGGTTTCTGTTTGTAGTTCTGATTTGCACTTCTCTGGTGATCATGGATGCTCAGCATTTGTTCATATGTTGGTTGGCTGCTTGTATGTCTTCCTTTGAGAAGCGTCTGTTCATGTCCTTTTCTCCTATTTAAATGGGGTTATTTGTATTGTTTATTTCCCAGTTTTTTGTTTAGATAAAACTAGCTGACAAAAATACTCTTAAGATCACTTACATAGTGGTATGCTGGCCATGTAATTAATAATGTATTTTCTTTGAAGATCACTTTCAATGTAAACTGTAGTAACATAGATCTAAGGCATATTAATTGAAATGTATCTACCTCCCAGGTTCAAGCAATTCTCCTGCCTCAGCCTCCCAAGTAGCTGGGATTACAGGTGCCCACCACCATGCCTAGCTAATATTTTGGTACTTTTAGTAGAGACAGGATTTTGCTATGTTGGCCAGGCTGGTCTCGAACTCCTGACTATAGGTGATCCACCTGCCTTACCCTTCAAACTGCCTGTAATTTATCTTAAACAAAAGTAGAAATGGTGCAGCCAGTCCTGTGTTAAGTCATCAGTGACAATTCTCATCATGTTCCTTTCCAGACTCACACTCTTCTATTCTTCCCATTTCTCTACATGAAAACCATTCAGGGCTTCTCTCCAACCCATGACAGTGCACATTTCTTTCTTATAAGAGGATTTTTTGGATGACTTTTCCTGTACAAGAACATCTGAATCAAACTATACTTCAAAAATATTTTTTAATCTACTATGATTCTTCATAGTATAAAATAAACTTTCTACTAAATCCCTAAACAAAAAAATTACTCTATTAACCTATTTTGATCATTTCTGAACCTCTTCCCAAAGAATCTAGCAGTTAGATTGAGTGTTCTTTGTATAACAGTATCCAGGATATTCACTTTTAGTCCTACTATAAGATCTACATGGAAAGAGACATTATTGCCCATGTGTATGTTGGCATCGTAAACTAACACAATTGTTTATAAATACTGACAAATACTGAAATGTATGACTGAATCTGACGAAGAGAACAGACTCATGGCACAGGAACCAGATCTGGAAGAAGCGTTTTCTTTGTCCTACAGGCAAAACAGAAGTGAGAGGCACGGGTGTCACTGAAGATCAGCACAAAGGGGCTGAATGCTGGAAAACGGGAGGCCACAAACACAGAGTTGTCCACTATCCACCGACCCGGGTTTTTAAAGTGAGTCATACAAACTGTCAGGATAGAGTGGACCGAGAAGAAAGCAAAAAAGGAGCTCACCAGGACCATGGTGGTGCCTATGGCTCTGGCCTCATAAGAAGGTCTGGAGGAGAGTCTGTTGCTACAAATCTGTTGGACTTGTTGCTTATGTCTGTACAGGACAAAGACCATGGAGCCCCTGGCCCACACCATGAAGCCCAAACCCAGAAAGTCAGGGGAAAAGTATGTAATTGTATATAAAGTGCCAACTCTTTCTGGCATTGCCCAGGAAGAAACTCCATAATTGTTTTCCACACTAAGGTTTTTGCTATCCAATGGGCCATTTACAAGAAAAAGAACACTTGTATTTATCAAGAGAGGCAAGACCCAGCAGAGGAAACAACAGAAGCCAATGAACTTTTGGGACTGAATTTTGAGCTCCAGCCACCTGCATGTACTGGGGTCAAGCTCAATCGCTTGGAATCCATTGAGGAGGCAGATGGTGCTGAAGGAAACTCCTGTGCCCACTCTGTGATGAAAATAGACAAGCTTTCATCCAGTATGATCCAGGAAATCTTTAAATCCAAAAGCTGCCATTGTCTGAGGTATTCCTTTAGAGAAAAGGACCAAGGAGTTGGCTAAGGCCAGCTGTTTGAGAATCAGGTCCATAAGTCTCAAGCTGTTTCCAGCGAGCCACATGAAATTATAAAAACAAAGGAGAAAGGAATTTCCCAGTATCCCAACTCCAGTCTGAATAAGAAAGACGATCCCTGTTTCTAATTTTCCAGAAGCCATTCCATCTAGGGATGTTGATTTTCATTGAAGTCAGGAATCAGGATTAGGAAAATCAGAAAGAGTGTCTTGCTGTCACTAGAGATAGTTTTCAGTGTTTATCCTCTACTTATTTTCTCACTTTAAACAGGAGATTATGTTTTTTGCTTATTTGCCCAAAGGCAACTAATAGCAACCAGCACTGGGAAAAAACCTGCGTAGCCATCTGCAGGGAAGCAGGTGAATGGATGTGAGCACACTGCACAGGAGTTGTGCACCACTGCAGAGAGGAATGAATGAATCTCTGTGAATAGATACAATAATTTCCGGAATCATGCTAGTTATGAAGATACGAATTTGTTCCGATATGATTGACATATTAAAGAGCACATGGAGCATAAAGACTTTGATGTTTGGACATGGATTATTATTATTATTTTTTTTTTTTTTGAGACAAAGTTTCGCTCTTGTTACCCAGGCTGGAGTGCAATGGCGCGATCTTGGCTCACCGCCACCTCCGCCTCCTGGGTTCAGGCAGTTCTCCTGCCTCAGCCTCCTGAGGAGCTGGGATTACAGGCGTGCGCCACCATGCCCAGCTAATTTTTTGTATTTTTAGTAGAGACGGGGTTTCACCATGTTGACCAGGATGGTCTCGATCTCTCGACCTCGTGATCCACCCGCCTCGGCCTCCCAAAGTGCTGTGATTACAGGCTTGAGCCACTGTGCCTGGCCTGGATTATTTTTTAACAAGAAAAACTAGATTAATGCAGAAAACTGCACCCTATTGAACCAAGCTGGAGGCATACACAAAATGCACAAAGCAAACATACAACTGAGTTCGCCACGTATTATGAGCTGCACCCATATACACCTGGCTAGACAAGATTCTGTCTTATTTTAAATACCTCTTCTTTTACTACTCTACAGCAACCAAAAGCTGTAACCCTGCTGACATCTACTTCTAATCAATTTTAAAGAAAATTGCCATATTTATTACAGCATTTGTGTCTTCATTAACCATTTACATGTGTAGAGTGTGCTACCATATTTATTAGCCTTCTGTCTTGTTTGTACTGACGATATTTTTGTGTCCCATTAATTTCTGTTTTTCGCTGTTGATTTTGTATAGCTCAATAATTTCTGTGAACAGTATAGGTTACATTATACCAAAAGTGAATGTATGATATTTTTCCAGGGACATATTCGTAAGTGAAAAATGCATGGGTCAGAACATTGTCCAAAGTATGTTACAGTACCTGAAGCTAGTAGAGACATATATCTATAGGAACAAAAGTGATATGCTGGAGACACAGAAATGGGAGTTGGGCCTTTATGAAACCTTTTGTTCTATAAGGTTTTTGCAAATGTAATATTTTACATAATTAACTAATATTGAATCAGAATAAAAATTTAAAATCAACAAAATCAAAATCAAAATAAAATGTGGCCCTAGTTTTGTGTCTGCGTGGAAAAACAGTCTTCCAGTGGGTTGAAACTTGGGGGGTACATGCACTCATACACACACACACACACACACACACACGAGTATAAATAAAATTAGGAAAATATTAAAATGATAGTGAAAATATCAAAATCAGTATCATCATTGTGATATTATACTGCAATTGCCAAATGTAACCACAGGGGGAAACTGGGCCATGCGTAAAGGTTCTCTCTGAGTTATTTCTTAAACTGCTTGTGAGTCTAAAATTTTTGTTAATAAAATAGTTAAAACGCTCAGGAATTCTAAAATTACTGTTAGTAACACGGTCAGTGAAAATGCTCAGGGATATGTAAGGCAAAAAGAAGGCATTATAAATCCTTGTCCGTCATTATGTTTCCATACACATCACTGGTGTTGGTGCATGGAAACAACAAATAGGCCTTCGATATAATTGCTAAACAAGTATTTTGGCATAGGGCAGAGTCAGTACAAACACTAACTCAATGAATTCAAACTCTAAAGCGTATACTTTTGAAGAGAATCCATAATAATTTAGGTTACACAGTTATGCGCCATAAAACCTCATTCATATCGGTAAGGAGCCACACATAATACAGTGGTGGAAGCAGTAGGCCATGCCATATATCCTAGGTAGGCAGTAGGCAATTCCTGTTCAGGCTTGCATCTGACAATGACAAAATCACCTAATAACGTATTTCTTAGAATGTATCCCTCTCGTTAAGTGATGTATAACTATATTTTATTTAAAACATGTATTCTGTATGATTTCACATTAAAAAATCTAGACCTCATCAGATAACTCCATAGCAGGGACCACGACCATTGAGCAGCCAGATTCTTATCTAAATCTTATCTAAACGCCATTTGTCTTTTTCTTTTGTTTTCTCTTTTCTAAATGCCATTTTTCATGCAAAAAAGCAAAGAATCCTGAAAATAAATGCTGATTGCAGGTACACTCAACCCAAAAACTCTTAGTCAAATAAAAAAAAAAATCTATGATGTTCTAGAAACTCTGGGCTTACTATCAGGGGAAACATAATTCAGTAGGCAGGGGATTCTATTACACAATATTAACACGAATCACCAATCAAAGAAATTGTAACTCCAAAGATTTGAAACTCAACATATATGTTATAAAAATAAATGTTATTTACATATATATTAATAATTAATTTGCAGGCTGGGTGTGGTGGCTCATACCTGTAATCCCAGCACTTTGGAAAAATAAAGTGGGTAGATGACCTGAGGTCAGGAGCTCAAAACCAGCCTGGCCAACATGTTGCAATCCTGTCTCTAATAAAAGTAGAAAAATCAGCCAGGTGCAGTGATGGGCACCTGTAATCCCAGCTACTCAGGAGGCTGAGGCAGAAGAATCTCTTGAGCCCAGGAGGTGGAGGTTGCAACGAGCCAAGATGGCGCCACTGCACTCCAGCCTGGATGACAGAGTGAGACTCTGCCTCAAAAAAGAAAAGAAAAGAAAAGAAAAGAAGGCAAAAGATTTGCTATCTATTGGAAATATTATTTACAAATAATAAAGTAAAATAAATTAATGAAGGATAATTAAGTTTGGGGGAGCACTAAAACTAGGTCGTTTTAAGGGAATATTGAAGCATAATAAAATACTATTAAAATATTAAGATTAGAAAGAAGTGAGAGAATAGAGTAATTGTGCCCTAAGATCAAACGCTAATGTAATTTTGATTTCTAGTAAAGTAACTTATTTAACAAACTTGTAATCAAAATAGTGATTTTCTAAATTTTCTTTATATTTCTGAAAAGTAGTTTTAATAGGTAATAATTAAACACAAATGAAGAAATTGTTTACCAAAATAAAACAAAATAGAAAATTAAGTAAATGGCACAGAAAAGAAGTTTATAAAACAAAACTTACACACATACATACTTTGATATATATTAATTATCAATCTGTGGGGAAGTCGTTTCAGAATATGTTATGACAACATTTGGATAGCTAATTCAATTTAAAAATGGAAACATTTGACTTCACAAATATGAACAAAGTTTAACAGTTAACTGAATCTAAAATACAAAGAGACAAATCTCTCAGGTAAAATTACTGGAGTGCTTTTTTCAGAATTTGGGGTTAAAGAATCCTTGTCATTCATGGTCCAAACTGAAGGCCATTTTATGTCAAAAGAAAAGCATAATAATACTCTATTACTAGAAATCATATTAAACAAAATTAAACACAAAATTATTTATATAAACATAAAAGTTATTGACTATAACTTCAGTAATGATACTAACTAGATGAATAGAAAACAAAAACAAATCATGGAAAACATAAAAGCTTAAAAGAAAAATAATAATATGCTTCTAAAAGCTTGTTTTGCAAGTGAGCAATCGTGTATTTCATGGACATCAATCAGGATCTTTGATAAAAGGAATATGCAGAAAAAATAATCACTTACTGTAGGTCGAGCAGAGTGGAGTTCTCAAAGCTTTACTGCATATATATAGTTAATGAATATCTGAAGAATCCCCATCAACTGCCAACACGGTTCTTTCTGAGGACTGGGATAGAGAGGAGGAAGATGGTTATTTTAAAGTAAATATTCACGTTGACTTATACACCCACTGCTTTGTCAAAATATTTATAATAAAAATGATAATTGGCCGGGCGCGGTGGCTCAAGCCTGTAATCCCAGCACTTTGGGAGGCCGAGACGGGTGGATCACGAGGTCAACAGATCGAGACCATCCTGGTCAACATGGTGAAACCCCGTCTCTACTAAAAATTACAAAAAATTAGCTGGGCATGGTGGCTCGTGCCTGTAATCCCAGCTACTCAGGAGGCTGAGGCAGGAGAATTGCCTGAACCCAGGAGGCGGAGGTTGCGGTGAGCCGAGATTGCGCCATTGCACTCCAGCCTGGGTAACAAGAGCGAAACTCCATCTCAAAAAAAAAAAAAAAAAAAAAAAAAGATAATTTATAACGATAAAATGGAAAAAAATAGGAACCAAATTCATATGGAAATAAATTATAGAACTAGAACACTGAAGCAAAATAAGAGTAACAAAAAAGAAATGGATCAGGAATCGTCTTAAAGATGAATCAGAAATAAATTTAAATAAAACACATATTCGTGAAAAGATGTGTCTGAGGATGTAAAGCACTGGCATGAATCAGAGCCTGAGAAGTTTTATACTACTGTATAAAAATTATATATTTTTGTGTTATTGATCACTCCAACCTCTGAAGGACTGCAGTGACATAGGTAAAAACGACACAAATTTCTCAGGATCACAGAAGTTCTGTGGAGACACAGAGACATAAATTGGTTGTTCCCTGCTCTCCGAAACGAGGAGGTGGAGCTGCGTATGCCTAACTGGGTGCCTGGTCAGAATTTTTTTCATTGAAAAACAACTATCTTATAAAAATGAAATAGGTGGCTAGTTAAGAGTTAGTAAAAATAGATAAATGACAGATGATTGATAGATTAGATAGATATAGATCTAGTAGATATCAGATGGGCAGATGAATAGATCAATAAATACCATTGGCTTTTTATATAATTATGTATATACCATTTACACTGTATTAGGCATTATAAGTAACCTAGAGATGATTTAGTGTATGGGAGGATACGCATAGGTTATATGCAAATGCTACACCATTTTCTATAAGGAACTTGAGCATCTGAGGATTCTGGTGTGCATGGGGATCCTGAAAGCAATTCACTGCAGACACCAAAGGACCATGGTAGACCGACAGGAGGTAGACAGGTGTTTTATCATAGACGTAATTTTATCTTGGCACTTTTGGACTTAGAGATTGTTGAAATGGCACAAGACTATGAAGGTTTTAGAGCTGTCTGGTTACATTTCAGCACAACATTTGTGTTTTAGACTATTAAAGGCCCTCATCTGTCCCTGCTTCATGATCTTATTTGCCATATGCATCTTTACATAAATTTTTATCTCTGTAAATGGGATCTTCTCATTGATCTGAGAGATGCTATGAACGGCCTTCCCCTGATGATAGAAATTTAGAGACGTTTTATTAAAGTCTGCATTTGACACCACATGCCCCTGTTCAAAATGAAACAACAAAATGCAACACACACCAGAGACTATCACACAAGGACTAAGTTTCTACTCTGCTGGAAGCCCGTGTTCATTGTCCTATTACCCCCCAAATGCCTGTGTTCTGAAGTCTTTCGTATGAGTGCCAAAGGATGCTGTGTTTATTGAGTGGAAAATCACGTATATATGCTTCGAAACACCATGTTATACATGACAAATACATATAGCTTTATCTGTCGACTTAAAAAATAAACAAGAGGGAAGTTTCAGAGAGAATGCAATTGAGTGGAGACAGGGGAGATGCCAGGGAGTGGTGCGACATATGGATAGCAGTGACGTGGCTGTGGATTCTTCCAGGAACATCCTTCTCTTTGGTATGTGTTTGCTCCTATCTGTCTACTTACCTATCTTCCTATCTACATATCTGGCTAGTTATTATCTAAAAAGCATTTTAGTTTTTATTTCTAGCCAGGGAAGTCTGATTTTTTAAAAAGCATTTCTGCCCATCGATGATAGACTGGACCGGGAAAATGTGGCACATATACACCTTGGAATATTATGCAGCAATAAAAAACGATGAGTTCGTGTCCTTTGCAGGGACATGGATGAATCTGGAGAACGTCATTCTCAGCAAACTGACAGAAGAACAGAAAATGAAATACCGCATGTTCTCACTCATAGGCGGGTGATGAAAAATGAGAACACATGGACACAGGGAAGGGAGCACTACACACTGGGGTCTATTGGGGGGAATAGGGAAGGGACAGCGGGTGGGGGAGGGGAACTGGGGAGGGATAGCCTGGGGAGAAATGCCAAATGTGGGTGAAGGGGAGGAAGGCAGCAAAACACACTGCCGTGTGTACCTATGCAACTATCTTGCATGTTCTGCACATGTACCCCAAAACCTAAAATGCCATTAAAGAAAAAAAAGCATTTCTGAATTTCCTGAAAATTCCTTCTAAATATTGAATGCTTATCTGGAAAAAACAGTCACTTACCAAATTTGGATCTGTTTTGTGGACAGTGGGTGCCAGGTCAGTGTCTGTGCCAGAGTGCAGAGGCATCTGAACCTGAGATAAAGGTTTGGGATTCTATGATCTCATCTCCTTGCTGGGAAGTGACTCTCACTTCACCTGTAATTGCAGTGACAGTGTCTGCACAGGGAGTTGAGGTTATTTCTGAGAACGTATGTGCACACTGAAGGTTCCTAAAAGCTATTAAAAATCAGTAATAAAGGTATCCAACAAGAGTGGCAGGAAGAGATGAGGGGAATAAACTTTTGAAATAAGCAAACCAAATCCCAATGAGAGATGAACACAGAGCATAGATCTAATAAGTGACAGAAGAAAACTAAGCATGTGTGTATCCAGGATTTTTAGTAAACTGGAAAAGTTTGTCTCCAAAAACTGATTCTTTTCTATTCCTGAGAGCACTGAGAGTAGTGAAATTGAAAGAAGAGATGGTTAGTCAGTAGAATTAGAAACAGTATTCATAATGATCCAAATGAGCATTAAATCTGTGTTGTCGTATTTATTCAGTATTTCTCCAAATGTTTTGGATACATGTTATAGGCATGTTTCAAGGTATATGGGATATATCAGTATATGAAACATGAACTGTAATTGACTTTCATGAAATTTACACCACAGTTAATTGAAACAGCCAATAAATAACTCACCTACTTTATTAAGTAGCATAGTAAATGTCAAGGTTCTGTAGAAGATAGAAAAGATTCGGCCGGGCGCGGTGGCTCACGCCTGTAATCCCAGCACTCTGGGAGGCCGAGGCGGGTGGATCACGAGGTCAAGAGATCAAGACCATCCTGGTCAACTACTAAAAATACAAAAATTAGCTGGGCATGGTGGTGTGCACCTGTAGTCCCAGCTACTCAGGAGGCTGAGGCAGGAGAATTGCCTGAACCCAGGAGGCAGAGGTTGAGGTGAGCCGAGATCGTGCCATTGCACTCCAGCCTGGGTAACAAGAGGGAAACTCTGTCTCAAAAAAAAAAAAAAAAAAAAAAAAAAAGAAAGAAAAGATTCATAGACTGCAGGTGGTGGTGTCTGGGACCCACGATTGGCTGCAGTAGAAAATCGAACAGCAGTGTTAGGATTTACAGTGAAAATGGTACGTTCTTTAATTTTTATCTTTTGTGGGTATATAATAGGTGTATATATTTATGGTTTGCATAAGATATTTTGATACTGCCAATGCAATGCATAATGATCACATCAGGATAAATGGGGTCGCCATCACCTCAACCATTTATCCTTTCTGTTACAAATAAACCAATTATACTCTTTATTTTTAAATGTGCAATTAAATTATTTTTGACTATAGTAGCTCTGTTGAGCTAGCAAATACTAGGTCTTATTCATTCTAGTTTTTGTATTCCTTAATCATCCCCACTCACTGCCCCGCCCCCCCACCTACCCTTCTCAGCCTCTGGTAATCATGTTTTTTTTTTTTTTTGACGTTGTTTCGCTCTTATTACCCAGGCTGGAGTGCAATGGCACGATCTCGGCTCACCGCAACCTCCGCCTCCTGGGTTCAAGCAAT